TGTTGCGCTAACCTCAACCCCACACACTCTGAACCTGTCTCTTATACACATCTAGATGTGTATAAGAGACAGGAGAGAGAGAGAGAGAGAGAGAGAGAGCATACCTGTACTTGACTGGATGGATGCCTTAAATGCATTGTCAGGTGGCGTGCTGTTACGCCCCTCCTCCTCCTTCTCCTCCTCCTTGAAACGTCCCCTGTCCCCTCGATCCGAAAGCGCAATCCTCCCCTCCGCCGCCCACCATCCCCGCCTCCACCTCTCCTCTTCCCGCCATCTTCCTCTGCCCGGCTTCCACAATGTTTACCTACAAGCTGCGTCCTCCATGTTTTGATCGCCTACCACGATCCTGGCCTTTCTCCTCCTCCTCCTCCGATCCTGGCCTTTCTCCTCCTCCTCCTCTTCCTCCTTTTTCCCTTGCCTCTCCATCTTTTGGCATCCAATCGCAATATCCGTCTACACCTGCTTTACCCATCCCTATCTTCCCATGGAAGCTGATTGGGATGAGAAAGGAGGAGAGAACCGAGAACGACAACTACTTTGTCTTTCTACCAGCGAGTCAGCCGAGGAGGAGAAGGGGTAGAGAGATGGCGATGCCGACGGCCGGAGCCAGATCAGAGGGGGGTAGGAGGTTATGGGGGTTTCATTTTCGTTTCTATTTCGCTTCACCGTGCTCCTCTCCTGACCATCTTTCGCTTCCATGCTTCTTCTGTTGTCCTCCACGTCATCATTCCCCTCCGCTCCACTCTCCACGTCATTTCCCCTCTCCGCTCCCCCTCCCTCGTCTGCCTCTGCATATGTCCAGTTCCGGGTGGAAGCCTCGAAGGGCAGTATCCTCCCGCCTCCTGCAGAGAACGGGAAAGGACGAGAATGGAGAAGCGATGATGATTCGAGATAAGATGGGAGGAAGAGTAGAGGGAGAAGAGATTTAAGTGATGAAGATGACGACGATTGCTGGTTAGGAAGATGAGGAGCAAGCGAAACGTCAAGAAGTTGGGAAGGTGAAAAAGGGGAGGAGGGGGAGGCTATGGTGGTGATTGCGGTTATCTTTCTCTTTGTTGATTCCCCGTTTCGCTTGCTGTTTTGCTTTGCAATGGTCCTTCATCATCTTTCTCTTCCATGTCCTTTTCTCTATGTCATCTTTCTTCTCCGCTTCTCCACGTCATCCTTGTCCTCCGCTCAATGCTTCTGCCTCCGACGCAATATCTCTCGGCCGCCGGGAGAGAGTGCGGGAAACTCAATCATCACACTCACCCTGAGGCTAGTAAGACTACTAGGGTTTTCATGTTTTCGTTATTCTCCACCTCTTTCACCTCCTGCTGATGCTGCTTACTGGCTGGTACACACACAGAGAGAGAGAGAGAGAGAGAGAGAGAGAGAGAGAGGAGCATATGCCCGCGGTGCCTCCCACTGCTCCATCTTCCCGCGATCCCTTCCCCGTCTTCCCCCTCCCCCCTCTCTCCCCCACATCTCCTCCGCGTCTAACCCATCGCCTCCTCATCTCCCTGGCCCCCCCACTACTACTCTCCTCCATTCTTGTATGTGATCTAGCTTCCCAAGTTTGCGTTCAATATTTTGGGGCTTATTATAACAATCGGATAGCATTGTGATTGACCCAATTATACCTCTGAATGTACCTGACCCAATTATACCTCTGAACGTCCCTTGCGAGCCTCATGAGCGCTTTCTACAATTACTAGGCGTTTTGCTATTCAGAGCTAATTTACAGCCAGCGGTGCTTGGGCATTCGATTTTGCGCCGCTCTCTCTCTCTCTCTCTAACTTCCGTTGGACTCTCTGATGTAATGAGCTCCACGTCTGTGATTGGCAACTGTTCAGCATGTGCGATTTTGCGAATTATTACTGTATTATTATTCCATAAATGAAAGCTTTTATGGAATGGAATAATAGATAACACCCTGCTCTTATCTATTCAGCTTGGCTATTGTGGTGAATGACTTGATTACAAAACTGCTATTGATATGCTGCGGCGGGGGAACGGGGTGTGGAAGTGGCTTTGCGAGGGGAGGGGATAACGTTGAGCGGCAAGGAGTAGTGTTGAAAAGGGGAGGGCGGGAATGGGAGTGTGGGAGAAATGTGTCAGCGAACGCAGAAAGGGGAGAAAAGCGGAAAGAACATGGGGATAGCGTCGTAACATGGGTAGGAGGGCGTAGAGGCGTATAAAGGGGAGCAATAGAAAAAGCACCAGCTGAAGGAGGAGAGAAAGTATGCGTGTGGGAAGAGCATTCAAAAAGGGTTAGGAGGCAGGAAGAGGGAGAACGAAGAGGCGGTTACAGCATTCCAGTAGAGAGGACTGTGGAGAAAAGCGTTCGTAATAGGTGTAAGGAGGGTGGATAGCGGGAAAGAGTTTTGGGAGAAAGGAGTGGAAATCCTGGGAGGAGGTGGGAGGGGTGAAAATGTGGGTGGGATAAATCTTCGAAATCATGAAAGGAGGGGTAGGGAGGAAAAGATGTGCCGGTGAAGCGTCGCAATAAGTGTTCGCGGATGGGGATAGGGGGAGAAGGTGGGAAAAGCCTCGCAATAGGGTTTGGCAGGGGGGGCGGGGAATAGGGTGGAGGGAAGCGTCAAGATCGCAAGAGGGGGTCATGGAGGAAATCTGCAAAACCTCGAAGCCGCAAAAGGGTGGCGCGAGGGGGGGTGGAGGCAAAGGCATAGGCGAAGAGAGTCGCAATAGCAAATGGAGAGAGCAGGCTTACTTAGCGCCCGCGCGCGCTAGAGAGAGAGAGAGAGAGAGTACGTTGCGCGCGCTCGAGAGAAAGAGAGGGGGAGAGAGAGAGAGAGAGAGAGAGAGAGAGAGAGAGAGAGAGAGAGAGAGAGAGAGAGAGAGTTTTTCCGCCTTGTGATGTGCATGTTTTACACCAATGAGGGGATGACCCATTGGCGAATGAAAAGCGCAGGGAGAGGGGTTGTAGCCACCAAGTGTATGATGGAGTTGCCTGCGACACATCTGGATATATAGCGGCAAGCAGATGGGGTGGAGGATGAGGTGTGTAATGGCGGATAAACCATAATGTGTGGGTGGAGGGTACGGCGACGAGGGGGAGGCGTGCGAGAGAGAGAGAGAGAGAGAGAGAGAGACATGCAATAATAGACAACACGTGCGAGGTTTTACTTTCGCAGTATACACGTCCTGTCCATGGCATGCGACAACTGTCGAGAGAGAGAGAGAGAGAGAGAGAGAGAGAGAGAGAGAGAGAGAGAGAGAGAGAGAGAGAGAGAGAGAGAGAGAGGTCTATTCGTTAAAAGGCGAAAGAAAACAGAACGACAGGGTAGGGGAAACAATCAAGGAGGATATCATGGGGTGTACAGATGTGGAGGAGGAAGAGTGGGAGACTGAATGATGAGAAGGGATGGAAAACAGTCGGGAAGACACAGGTTTTTCTTGTTTCCGTTGGTGTAAATTTTATTTTACATACATTACATTTCTCTCCTCTTTTGTTTTCTGAGAAACTACATTTCATTCCATTGAATCCTCTTTTCTTTTTGGGCGAAGCCACCACAGGTCATCTTCTTTTCTTTTTTTTTTTTTTTTTTTTTTTTTGCCACCACAGGTCATCTAGTTATCCCCCACTTTACTTCCGAACTTCTCTCTAGGCGAAAAAGAGGAAGCAACTTCATTGTGAAATCCCCTTAAAGGGGCGTCTAAGGCAGTTAGGGGGGGTTTTGACGAAAGTGTCCCTTTGCCTCATGTGAGCTACAGTCTTCCCCCGAATACAACGCACGGTCATTATAGCTGTATTTGATGCATCTTTCAGTCTAGATACAGCTATAAATACCGTACGTTGTATTCGGGGGAAGACTGCAGCATGCATGTGTCAAAGAAGTGTCCCTTTAACTCATGGGTTGTGTTAGCATGCATGTGTCAAAGGAGTTAACTTGAATGGCACTTGTTCTGTTCTTGCTGTGGGAATTTGTTTGTTGGAAATTGAAGGAGCTACGTACGGTACGGTACGGTAGCTCTCTTCTCCACCCTTTCTCTACCACCACCCGTTTTGCGCCTTCCTCTCAGGTGTTTCTGTTCGTTCTACTTGAGAAGTTCTCTGTTGTTCCGAGGTTTGTTCCACTTCTTGATATCTTTTCTTGTATCGTATATTTCAGTTTTTAATTTGGTCGTCGTCGATAAACTGAAAGAACAAATTTCAGTTGCATCTGAGTCTTTTTCTTTCTGTTCATTGACAACATTTCAGTTTATGCCAAACTGAATGCTAAACTCAGAATTGTTATGTTGAAATCCTCAAGGATGTTTTTGGACTATCAGGCCAAAACACTCTTTTTTTTTGTGGGGATCAACTGAAAAGTTGAAAAGTGGACTGAAAATGTTTTGAGATAATCTTTCTTCGAACTGAATTTTTTTTTTTTTTTGCTGAAATTTGACTGTCGTGTGGGGTTTAGCACCAAAAAAAAATTTTCAGCACAAAAAAGTTATGTCTCATTGGTCGTCTTGTTCCTTTTCACGTTGGATTGCTCCCTGCTCCTCGCGCTCAGGAGTTGACATCAAGGAGTTTGACAAGAAGAAAGGAGCTGGACAGGGTGAAGGGTGAAATTCCAAGGGAACGCGTAGAGGAGTCCATCAAGGAAGGCGGTGAGAGAAGGAAGGGGGAGTAGTATTATTGAGGGGTCAAGAGAGGGTGGCGGTGGACGCCCACAGCTTATCTGGGGGTAAACTGGGGGTGCTGGTGAAGTTGTGTGAGGATTGCAATGAACAAGGAGACAGGCAAATTGGAACAAGAGCTGTTAAAGAGAGCGGTTGGGTGAGGGTGGGAGAGGTGGGAGAGGGAAGAGCGGGGGGAGAGGGAGGTGGAGTTTTTGCCGCAGAATCACGTCGGTTGCCCTTGCGCCAGTGATCGTCGTCATTAGGGCGGCAATGACGATTGGCATCTAGTGATTTCTGAAGGCAATACAATTTTGGACTAGTCCTCCTGCTGTCTCCGCTTGCGCGGCATCTCGTGTGATTGCCAGTTGTATGCCTGTGGTGGCTGAGATGGTGCATCCAGACGATGACGATGGGAGGGGAAGTGAAGAGCAGTACTCACCAAGGCCGCGCATGAGGTCGCCTCTGCATAATCTTGGTGGGGATGGGGGTCCGCGCTCACCGCAGGAGATGGCGAGAGATGATCGAGAGAACGGGGACAGACGTCGGCAGGTACGCATTACCTTTTTTCCCAAAAGATGCACCACGTGTTTTTTTTGCCCGTTGCGCGTCTCATCCGCCGCGTGTTTTTTTCTTGCCTCTCCCGCTCTTTTTCTGTCTGTCTTCATTTGCGGGTTTCTTTACCATTCCCGCAGTCGTGTGGCGTCTCCCTTCTCTGGATTCTTCTTGTGTTCATCATTTGTGTTGTTCGTCGGAAGTTGGACTACACCTCTTCCTTCCTTTGCTGGGCACTTGTTCCTCTCGTTCAGCATGAAAGAGGGGGGGGGGGGGGGGGGTGCGGAGGAGGCCGCAACAGTTGGGATCTGGAGTGGGTTCTCTTTCCTTCGGGGCGTTTAGCGGGAGTTGATTGTTGTTGAGTGTCTGTTGAGCGTTTGATCAGCGAGTGTGTTGTTGGTACTTTGTCTGGTTCTCCTTTTGGTATCGATGTGGGTTTCTCCTTTCCTGCTTCTTGTGTCAACGTCTTTCGTCCTCGCTATGATGTTAACACAGTGGTCTCACTGTTTGCCGCGTCAAAACCCTAATCGGGTTAGAGCCGAGGGTATTTTCGGGGGGGGGGAGGGGGGAGGGGGGGGAGCAGATTTCTAGCTCTCCGCTCGTGCCCGATCTCTCCACGTGGCATGGGGAGAAGGGGAAAGTATGGACTCGTAAGGTATGTCGTTGAAAGAGATGTTGCAAAGAAGATTGGTAGAACTGTGTAGGGTGTATTGTTCGTCGTTGTCAGTAGCTTTGAGGAGTGGGTAATACTGTGGACAAGGTGACCTATACCCAAACTGGTCCTGTGTTCTGTATCCTACCGGAGGTGGATGAGTGGGTTTCTCGCGGCCGAAGGTGGTGTGTCCCGATCACGTGTCCTGAAAGCCTGTTTTTAAGGGTTCGTTCAAACGACCATGTGTTGAAGTAGAGCCTAGTCTTGATCTAGTAGGCATTGAAAACGACAAACGATGGTGAAGCACAACCGTAAGAAAACGACAAACGATGGTGAAGCACAACCTTAAGAAAACGACAAACGATGGTGAAGCACAGCCTCCAGTCGAGCTTACGTGGCACAGTTTGTACGAGTCAATCATGGACTGTGTTGAAGATTGCGAAGGCGACTATGTGAAGCGAATCAGCCGCATGTGGACGTTGGTCTCTCTTTCTCTGTATGTTCATGCGTGCGCTGCAGTGTCGAGGTGTACGTCTCTGCTTCTCGACACCTGCGATGTACCAGTTGTTTATGACCCCCTACCGCCTTCACCCGAATAGAACGCCCGGTAATTATCGCCGTATCTGGGCTGAAAGTTGTGCCAAATACAGCTATAATGAACGGGCCTCCCATTGTCTCCACCCGAATAGAACGGCCGGTAATTATCGCCGTATCTGGGCTGAAAGTTGTGCCAAATACAGCTATAATGACCGGGCGTTCTATTCGGGTGAAGACGGTAGGTCGATGAGGCCCCAGGGGTTGGGCTTTGACGAGATGGCTTTCCTTGTTTCCTATTGAGTTTCTGTCTCTATCTGTCGATCTGCACCACCTTCTCCCTCCGAATACAACGTACGGTCATTATAGCAGCTGTATCTGGTCTGAAAATTGCACCAAACACGGCTGTAATGATGGCTTTCCTTGTTTCTTATTGAGTTTCTCWCTCTATCTGTCGATCTGCACCACCTTCTCCCTCCGAATACAACGTACGGTCATTATAGCAGCTGTATCTGGTCCGAAAATTGCACCAAATACGGCTTTAATAATGATCGGGCGTTCTATCCGTGTGGAAGTACTGTTATAGACTGGTGTGAATCATGTCGTTTCTTTTTCTTAAAGGCTCCCAGGGGATCGGTGTAGACCCGCTTAGAACATGAAATGACAACGTAATGGCTCTCTACCTCGAAAAATGGCTTTTTGTCAGAGACATCCTAGCCATAAAATACTCGAGAGCATTTTTTTAATCCCACTTATATTTTGTTGGGACTAGATTAGATGTATGTAGTGGCTGGCTTTCTGCTTGGAAGAGCGGCTTTCTCAGATTAGCTGGATGTAATGTCTTTCCATCAGACGTAGAAGGAACGTGATAGGCTTGCTTCGATTACTGCCATCTTTTGGCAGGTGTTGATTAGCGGAATGAAGGATGCAAATATGACGACAGGCTGGTTGGATAGAGAGGATTTTTTTTTTGGGGGAGGGGGGATCTATTTGGAGTGACTCTCTGCAATGGGAAATGACTGAAAGGGAGAGGGTTAATGAAAGGTAGGTGCAAAGAAAAGGCTTGTTAGACGACAAAATATATGCTTTTCCAACTGCTTGCCCTGGTGACTTCGCGTCCGGTTTGTAGAGGCAGCGTCGGGAGAGTAAAGGGAGCTGGGTGGCGGAAAGAGGGAGGGGCTGGTGTAGCTCGGTTGGTACACCCACAAACTGTTGAAATGCAGACCACAGTTCACAGACCAAGGGAATCAGATGAGTGAAAATAACTCTTGTGTTAGCCGGTCCCCACAACCGCCGGCCTCACTGACCCCCGAACCACTGCCAATTAAGGACGCAGGGGGCAACAGGCTTCCCCTTCATTGTGAGAGGTAGCTATGCTTGCCGGGGTCCACTGGATAGGCTTAGGAGTAGTAGTAGGGAGATAGAGTGGAAGGTGGAATTGAGAGGAGAATATTGCTTAGTTAAAGAAAAAGGAGAAGATGATAGAGAAGATGATATCTCAAGGCTGTCGCCCTTGTAAGAGAAAGAAAAGAAAAGGGAAAGAAAAGAGAAGAAAAAAAAGAAAAGGGGAAAATTGGAAGAGGGAGGGATCGATATTCATATCGAGTTGGCTTGGCCCGACCCTGGTTGTGACTACTGGAGACAGTTTCTTTGAGGAAATCTCGAGAGGGTTAGGGTTCATCTTTTTCTTTACTTCTGAGCAAGCGTGGATGTCCTGCCCCGCTTTCATTATGCTGACCCCATATGGTGTGGCGTTGAGGTGACACGTTCTCGAGCCACCTGATGCACCGTACTTGTCAGCTGTGGAAAGAGGGCGAGCAAGAAGTCTCTGTCTCCTTGCTCCTGTGCATACACCACACGAACTCTTGTAGACAATCCTTTTTGCCACGACTCTTGCGAAGAGGTGTCGTGCCACTGGAGATAGAAATTGTCACGGGTTTGTTGAATAGGAGGAAATCTTCTTTTGCGTAATTTGTCCTGACTATGAGGGAACTTAGCTTAATTTTTGTTTGTGTTCTTTCGTTTGGGTTTCAGTGGGTTAAGGTGCGTCGTGCCACTGGAGATAGAAATTGCCTAGCACTGCTCCGTAAGCTTTTTAGTCGCTTCTTCATTCTGCCGTCTTCCTCTGAATGGAATGCATGGTCATCATAGCTGTATTTGGGGCAACTTTCAGTCCAGGTGGTTGCTTGCCGTCTTCCTCTGAATGTAATGCATGGTCATCAGAGCTGTATTTGGTGCAACTTTCGGGGCAGGTGGTTGCTTTGTTCTGCGTCATTCTCCCAAGCACGCAGACCCTCATCATGGATGTGTAGCAGACGGGTCATGAATGTGTCAAAGCTATCTTTTTGACTTGGTATAGCTGTGATGAGGGTGCGCTGTCTTCGGGGGAAAACGAGCCAGGATCAGTAGTGATAGAGGACTGACATTAGGGAAGCCGGCGATCACGACATTGTGGGTAGGTCAAATCTGTTGCCACGTATTTGTCCTCTGTTCAAGGGTGTCACAATGGACCGCTTGTTTTTCATCCTGTTTTGTTTTCTTCTATTTCAGCACTGGTTGGAAATGTGACTCGCTTTTGTGAGAGCAGCTTACGTGACTTCTTCTCGTGTTTAGTATGACTGTGCAAAAACATGTGTTGTTCAGAAAAAGTTGATTCGGCCCTGATGCAGGATCGGGTTCTGCACCCCCTATTAACGTTATCAGGGGTTTGGTACCGCCCTACTGTCTTCCCCCGAACATAATGCATCCTAATAAACGCATCCTAATAATCAATGTATACAGACTGTTATTCTGTCCCGGTACAGTTAAAATGAGCGTGCCTTGTGTTCGGGGGAAGACGGTACTAAGTGTGATCGGGTTTGGCATGGCACGTTTGGCGTGTGATCGGGTTTGGGATGGCAGGTTTGGCATCGCGCTACTAACTTGGCTAGAGTGTGGCCACGTGGTTGCATGCTCTGGCTTTTCCTGTGTGGCTTTTGCACAATGGTAGGCCTTGCTGGGCCTGAGTACTGAATGCCTCCAAAAGTGCAGCCAGTTTTGTATATGGTTTAGGCAATGCCTCGATGTCCTGTTTTAGTGTATTGTTAATAATATGGGACATAAAGATGCGGCCAGTTCCCGGCCTCAAAATACACAACGTTTTCGAAGTCCATGCGTCTAAAACTTGTGATACATGTATGTCTTTATGTACGTGGAGGGAATGATGCACATGTGAAAGAGGAGAGAAGGAGAGAAGGGGGAGAGACGGAAGAGCTGGCTTATGTTTGTTCACACAGTTTTGTGACGGTGGTTGTCTTGCAGCGAATGCCTCGTGAAGACGAACGGGAGAGGGAGCGTGCAAGGATGAAGGAGAGAGATCGACACAGTGTTGATAGAAGGCATCGTGATGACCGCGATCGGGACCGAGATCGTGAAAGGATGGATCGTCGTCCGAGAGAAGATGTGAGGGAGAGAGAGAGAGACAGGGATCGGGACCGTGACAGGTCGGTGAAAGTGATTCACCCATTTTGCACGGAACTCTATCTTGCTCTCCTTTTTTTCCTTTGTTCTTCTTCCCTTCCATTTTTTTTCATGGAGTTCTGCGCGGGTGACCCTGCAGTTTCTCTCCCCCCCATGGCGACATCGTCTCGTGTGTTTCGCTTATGACTTATCTTCCCCTTGTTCATTGGGTACATTTATTCAAAATTTTCTCTTTTCTTTACTTGTTTGATGTCTTGTCTACGTACAATCTTTGCCTGTTTTGTCACAGTCGTCCTTCTACGGGTAAGTTGACCACATTGTATACCAACTCTTGACTCTTCTGTTACTACTAGGATGCCTTGTGTATGTTGTACAATCCTTGCCTGTTTTGTTGCGGACGTCCCTCTCTTTGCCGGTTCGAATATTCTTCGAGTCAGGTGTAAGGTTTGAATCCCCAAATGTGATGTGCTATCCCACCTCTGTTTCTTCATCCCTCTCTGTCCATACTCTGCTTGGTGATTCAGTATGACATGAAAGACGTCCATCTCTTTGCCGGTTCGAATATTCTTAGAGTCAGGTGTAAGGGGTTTGAATCCCCAAATGTGATGTGCTATCCCACCTTTGTTCTTCATCCCTCTCTGCCCATACTCTGCTTGGTGATTCAGTGTGACATGAAAGATTCGATCTTTGGCCTCGTGGCACCACTCGCCAAATGTGTAAAAAACAAAAGACTAAACTATGGCGTGGCGGGTGTATCTTGCGATGTTGTTGCAATGGGAGGTAATGCCTCCATTTTACCCATTTAGTGAGTAGTGAGGCGAGCATATGCAGTGGGTGGGTTTGTGTAGGCAACTATAGAGAGTTCAGCTTCCGAATGGAATGTATTGTTGGAAGTCCAAAGAAAGTCTGTCACAATTGGGTGGTTTTCTCGCTATTCCTGCCGCTTGCTCTAGGTTTGCAGGCTTGCTTCTGGTAGACAACTTACACGCTGTGTGCATTCACACGTAGTAGGGATCTTGCAGATTACTCCAAGGAAAGATGCAATCAGACTTGCTTTCATTCACACTTTACGTGCATGCAAACAGTGGCGCAGCAAACTGGCGACATGCGCCCACTCAGTACTCAGAGATATGGCAACCAGATACGAGTTCACTTCCAATGGCTATGGCGATATAGCGCCCATACAACTCTCTGTTCACATGCAAAGAGGAAAAGATGCAGAAATAGAAGTGAGGGGGCTAGGGGGTAGAAAATGAACGTACCATGAAAGTCTGTCTCAACTGGCTATTTCTTCGGCCTTTCGTGGTTGATATTTTTGTTTTCGAGTGCAATGTATGTTTTTTCAGCTGGGAAGATGGGGAATTGCTATGAAATCCTGTCCCAACCTGGTGTTTGCCCGCCGTTTTATTCCTTTTTTGCTTGTGGTTCATGTCTTTGTTTTTCTTATTACGATGTATTCCTAATTCACCAGGGTGTAAGATCTGGCTTTGACAGTTTCCCGGCAGTGAAGCACTGAGTTACGTTCTGCGCCATGTTTGCTGCTGCCTTCTCTGTAAACGCCCGCTGTGTACATAAATAAACGTGTTGAATGTATGGAGAAGAAGACGAAAGTTGTCGTACGGGGAGTGGCGTGTTGGTAATTGAATTCATTGGCGATTTGGTTAAGCTGTCCTAATGTTTTCGGTCTTGAACTTTGCTTTGCTTTTGTTCTGTGCAAGTGAAAATGAATGGAACTGACAAGCCTTAGTATGTTGATGGGCTATGAAGAACTGAAGGGGTCCTGTATGCGTCGATGGCAGGGTTTAGATGACAAATCCATGGGAGGGATGATTTACAAATATGCGGTGTACCTAAAAGCAATGTTTTGAATGTCATTGTTATGTGCAGGAGAATGAGAGAGTATGATCGGGGAGATCGGGACAGAAGATCTCGGCACAGGTCTCGCTCGCGCTCGAGGGGCAGATCGAGCAACAGGTCCCGTTCTCACTCACGGTCAAGGTCACGCTCTCGTTCAAGGGATAGGAAGAAGAAGTAAGTTCTGGACCTGTTTGTGTTGCATCTTGCATGCTGCGTCGTAATAATAATTAAATTATTTTAATTTAGCAATGACTAGGTCTCGAAGATGAGAGAGTATGATCAGGGAGATTGGGACCGAAGATCTCGGCACAGGTCTCGTTCGCTTTCTACGGGCAGTTTGAGCAACAGGTCTCGTTTGCATTCGCGTTCAAGGTTGCGCTCTCCTGCAAGCTGTCCTTCGAATTTTTATTATTTTTATTATTTTTTTATTTTTTATTTTTTTTGGTGATGTTCGGATCACGTGCGCCCGTGTGCATGCACGTGCGCTCTGCGCCGCATGTGCCGCGACCCAGCGCACGGGATGTGCTTCAAGTATGGTGGAAGCATGTGGACAAGTAAGCAGAGCATAGAATACACTGGGCCAGATGTGTGAGAATAAACGTCTGGCCTAGAGAACTTGCATGGAAAACCTGTATTGCGGCAGCTGGGAAGAACTCTCGAGCGGTTAGTAGCTGTCTTGATTCTCGTGGACTCTAATTTCTAGTACCTTTGAAGATGGTTCTCGTTTGCCATCTCTGTGAGGTGGCTCTCATTTGCCGTCCGCAGGGTGGTTGTCGTTTGCGGTCTCCAAGGTGGTGCTACCGTCTTCATGCAAATACTAGGTACGGTCATTATTGCTGTATGTGGACTCGAGAATGCCCCAAATACGTTGTATTCGGTTTAAGATGGTAGTTCGCCATCCGAAAGGTGGTTCTAGTTTAGCATCTGGAAGGCGGTTCTTGTTTCCCATCTGAAAGGCCTGAAGCACTCTGTGGGTCTGCAGTTGCTTGGCTGTGAAACTGTTCTTGCAGAATAGGAGGACTGGTTTCAGGTTGATGTTAAATCTGGATGGATGGAAATCTCAACTCCAGGTCAATCAGTCCTTAAGGACATCCGTTAAAATTGGAACGATACAGAGAAGATTAGCATGACCCCTCCGCAAGGATGGCCCACATAAATTGAGAAATGGTCGAAATTAGGGGGGAGAAAAAAACTCTCCAGGTCAATCAGTGTGCGAGACTCTAAATTTCTGGAGGAAGTTTCACATGGAGTACCACCAGATAGGTTCCGGCACTGTTCTCATGATTTTAGTAATCGATCCTTGAAATAAGAAAGAATAGTTTCGGGAACACTCCCTTAAGTGCTCTCTGTGGAGTGTCGAGGTGCCATGGTACCTTTTTGAATCGCTTATTGCCTGTTTGCCTTCCTGGCAAGTTGGACTGGCTCAGAATGGGAGCCAAACAACCAAAAGGCAACAAACCGCTGGTAAGAAGTTCAAGAAAGTATGTCCGTCGAGGGGCGAGGTGCTGGTGTTGTCCCACCAAGCTATCCATAAGTCCTTTCCCTTTGTGTAAACGCTCTGGCATTTGGCGTGTGCGAACGACCTGACTAAAAGATGCTTGTGAATTGTGGTTGCTGGGAAGACTGTTCACAGATAGGATGTGACAAGTTGTTATAGCAGCTTGTCCTATGAATTGATGCTGCGGGGATGCCTAAAATTCACTCCAACTGGGCCTACAGTCTTCCCCCGAATACAACGTGCGGTCATTATAGCCGAATTTGGGGTATCTTTCAGTCTAAATACAGCTATAATGACCGTATGTTGTATTCGGGGGAAGAGGGTAGCTCAGTTGGTACACCCCTTAACTGTTGAAATACAGACCCAGGCTCGAACTCCGGTGGAAGCAGATGAGTGAAACACTACGCTTCTGAATTACCCAGGGCCGGTCAGCTCGATGATAACATCTCAAGGCTGTTGCCCCTTTTTTGTTTTTTTTGGGAAGTTCACTCCAAGTGTCGTATGCTGGCTCATTAGATGGGCATGTAGACTCCACGTGACTATATGCCAGTCTGAGTCCTGAGACCCTTTGTTTCTTCAATGAATCCTCTGAAATCTTTGAAGGACGTGCCGTTGGATAGGGAAACTCAATGGGGAAGATTGGAAGAATTTCGTTCCGCTTGTATTTGCTTCGTTTGCTAATCATTTGAAATGTCCCATGGAATCGTTTCCTTCCGCTTGTATCTGCGCGTTTGCTAATCATTTGAAATGTCCCAAACAGTTTCTTGAAGCTATTCAAAGTCGTTATACACTTTTGATTGTTGCTCTGCTGGCGACCCCACTCTCGAAGGAACGGAGGTCGAAATCTGAATACGTGTGCATCAAGAATTGACATGTGTTTGTTTCGGAAGCAGGTCCACTTGAATGGAGTCGGAGTGTTTCTTCTGTAGTCTGAACAGTCAGCCGTCTTTGTCGGCTCGTAGGTCCTATATACGAGGGCCGATACAGTGTGCTTGTTTTGGAATGTATTCCTGGAAGTGACCCGCAGTATGCCACCAATGTGAGGGCCGGTACATCCAGCTATGGTGTGTGCAATTCTGAAGCCGCCCCTTGAAACCTTCCAAAGGGAAGTGGCTCGGAGCCAGAACCACACTGGGGACTGATGGACTGTTGGCAGTTTAGTAAAAGGCGATCTAACAAACCGGCTTCCCAGTGTGCAAAGCCAGAACGGCTGTGCTGTGTCCGCGGCGGAGGTTCTACCTGTTGAGTTGTACCCTGCCAATGCGAGGGCTGGTACATCCATCTATGGTGTGTGCAATTCTGAAGCCACCCCTAGAAACCTCCCAAAGGGAAGTGGCTCGGGGGCAGAACCATGCTGGGGACTGACGGGCTGTTGGCAGTTTAGTAAAAGGCGATCTAACAAACCGGCTTCCCAGTGTGCAAAGCCAGAAGGGCTGTGCTGTGTCCGTAGCGGAGGCCTGACCTGTTGAGTTGCGCCCTGTTTTAAATGCATCACCTAACCAGGATAGCCCTCCGAGTATACGTTTAAATCGTCGTAGCATCTTTGTGTTGATATGTCGTATACAACTTTTTAACTTCGGTGAAGATGCTTGAAGAGTGGAGTAGCAGCAGTGGCTTTCCAAAGTAAAAATATTAATTCCTTTTTTGGGGTTTTGGGAAATCTCTTTTCAGTATGAGTGGCACGTACGGAAAGATGCAATTAAAAGAAAAGGTACGCTCTTATGTGGATGGCTGGTATAGTGTTCTACATGTGCATTATAACTACTGCAAGTATGTATGTGTGCTGCGGTGTAGTGGCTCTTTGTGGTGGAATTCACTGCAGTGACTTGTAGGGATGCATGGTGTATAGTTCTCTGATAGTGCGGTGATTTACGTCTGGTTTTATGTTTTTCTTTTGCACAGTAAAAGAACAAGCGGGTTCGATATGGCTCCTGCAGGTGTGCAGGTTCTTCCACCGGGTACTCTTCCAACAGGTATGTTATATTACTTGCAGATAAACTTCAGTGCATGCTGTGTGAGGCCTGCCCACCGAAGAGATTGTACTGTTTGTCGTTTGCTGATGGTCCTCTCGTGTTCTGTAGTCTGTGGTGGTTGTGCCAGATCACTGCTACATGATTAGTCTTCAGACTCGTCACTGGATTCTGGATCAGGTCACAAATCTGTGTTACTTGAAGTTGGACTAAAGGTGCAATGTCCTTCCGCTAGTACAGACTGTGTACTCTGCTGCTTGGCAACCATCACGTGGTGGAGAGTCCTGCCGCTCGTGTGCCCTCTGCCGGTTGTCGACCATACACAGCATGCACTGTAGACTGTAACACATGACAGATCAATGCTCATTCAATTTGCACAGGGTCAGGGCATCTCAGGGGTATCGCTGATTTGCTCCCACTGTGCTTTTGCTGTGTGCTATTCGTACCGACTGTGCTCTTTGCTGTTTGTTTACCATCACGTCTTCCCCTGTAGGCTATCACCATGACAAATCAATCTTCTTTCTTTGGTTTGCACAAGGTCTCAATGTCTCAGGGGCGCAAAGAGACTGTGCTCTTTGCTGTTTGTCTACCATCCCATCTTCCACTGCAGACTATCACTATGACAAATCAATTTGTTTCTTTTTCTTTAATTTGCACAGGGTCTCAATGTCTCAGGGGTGCCATCGGTCTCATACGGCTGTGCGTCTTGCTGTGTGGTATTCCCTTGGTTTTGCCAGTTGTTCCAGCAAATTCACAGCATCTTTGTCGTTAACGCCTGGTATCGGTGCACAATTTTACAGGGAGTCGAATGCAGATGTTTTTTTGCCGGGGGAAGGGCTGGAGGGGAAGGGCGGGTCGTGGTTATTATTTTGTGGTAACTTTCCCTGCACCATGTCTTGCTCTGAGCGTTTGACTGATGCTTTATTGCTCAGCCTTCTTGTCATCTTTGCGGTAGGTTCCTCTGCACTATGTCTTGCTCTGAGCGGTTAACTGATGCTTTATTGCTTAGCCTTCTTGTTATCTTCTTTTACATTTCTCGAACACGGGTTAATTTGAGATGTGTTGTTACGAACAGTCGTATATTTTCTTCTGGTATATATGCAGAGGAGTTGAAGAGCCTACTAGCTCCTTGTCACACTCTCACTCTTCTGGGCGCTTAGAGGACAAGGAGATGGCGATGGCTCTTTTGACATGCTCCGGTTCAGTCTCTCTCTCCACATCTCTGTGTCCCTCTCTATGTCTCTGTCCGCTGGTCTGTCGATGTGTCTATCCGTGTCTGGGTCCGTCTCTATTGAATGGGTACATGCATTGGTTGGTTTCAGGTTTCTGATTCATTCTGTTTCAAGCGAATTTGAGGGGCATTGACAACAACGAAGGGGTCAGTTGTCGGTAGTATTGTCAGGTCCTGCCGTGTCTCAGTGTACCTGAAGAAACAGCACTCCTTAAGCGAAAGACTGAGGGACATTGTTTATTCGTTCGCATGTCGTTTGTCGTTTGTTGTTGGATTGTTGTCGTTTGTGATGTCTTTTTTGCTCTGTTGTTTTGTGGATGCGGAAGGCATCGTCAGCCACATATCTTTCCTTACCTGTCTGCGAACTTGACACCGAAGGCCTGTAATCACAAGAAGGGAGAGGATTGGCTCATTTGTGGTGCATCGCTGATCATCTTCAACCCGATCACTCTGTTTTTCTCTTTTTCTCTATCATTACCTGCTCGATTTCCTGTTCTTCATCTCTGCTGCCTCGTCAATTCTGAAATGAACATCTTGCAGGATCTATACGAGGCTTCTATATCACTTCTCAGAGTCACATTGTGTGTTTCGGTCAGAACGGTACCGGGCAGAACGGAATCTTTAGTTACTTGAATCTGGTCAGTTCTTGGGAAAGGAGCAATGTGTTCTTCAAGGCAGTATGGTGCTTGTCGTTCTGAGTCATGATGAATTCAGATAATTCCCTGCTCCTAGGAGGTACTCTCCTAACACTGTGCACTGCTTTGGTGTTGCGGGCATCAAGGGGGAATGTATCTAAGCAGCCTAATCTGGGCTCGTCCTTTTACCTAAGCGGGGCCGTGGAGGTGGTTTGGAAATGCTCCGGTGTAAGTAGGTTCTGGGCTCTCTGTAGGGAGGGTCTGTTGACAGGGTCCTCTCTTCCCTACCATAGAGCCTTAGGTGCTTCAACGGCACGATCTTGTTGTATGTTTGCACCACGCTACACCCTGGCCTTTCGCTGTTTTCTTGTGTTCCTACCTCCCCTGCCCTTCCCCCCTCTCGTTCCTCCGCCCTCGCCCCTTTATGATGTCATTTCAATTCCGTGAAAATTCTTGAGGATGACGCTTTCGGGTTTAGGTATGGTCACTCCGCCAACTGGGATGCTTCCTACAGTGGCAGCGGCAGCGGCGGCAGCAGCAGCAGCAGCAACTGGCACTACTAGCAGTTTACAATCCCTAGGTAGGCAATTTTCTGTGCAACAACTTCATTTTTCCTTACATAGCCCCACTTCTTGGCCTGATATCATTTTCTTTATTTTTTTTTGGATTTCAAAATTTGTTCAGTGTACATAAAGAATGCGCCACCTTCATTGTTTTTGTTGTGATGTCATCCTACCTTTTGGCCGTGCTGTTGAGAAGTTGAAGGGGTATTGTTAACCCGAAGTTGGATGGTCGAGGACTCGTAGGGGTTTTGACTGAACCCCACCCGGGCGTGGTATGGATGAAAAGGTCAGTAGAAGAGATTGAAACCGCGTTGGTAGGTAGGGATAACGCACAAGTTCTTATAACGCTGCTTAATAATGCTTTATGTGAGAACTGTGGCCTCCATCCGGGAAGACGAAAGTATTGTTTCTTGCTGATGCCATCTTGCCATGGAGGAGTTTGGTGCCCAAGATGGGTATGAATGTGTACTATAAAGTGAAAGGGAACGCCTTTGTTTGATGTTTAGGTGCGGGAGGTGTCGTCAGCGGATTAGTTGGCTACGTTTTTGGCCAGCGATGAGATGTACTTCATAATGTGGGGGAATTTCATATCTTTATATGTGAATGTGTCGCATTGAGAGAGAGGTGTTCCTGCAGCTGCCTAGTGCTTTGTGGCCCCCATGATATTATCTTCTGGAGTGATTATTGGTGTCCGGATCCTGGAAACATTTTCTGAAGTTGGCTTTACAGCACCAGTACCTCATGGGACCATTTTATTACAACCCATATTTCAAATAAGCCCATCAGGATGCAGAGCCTCTGAAAAACCAGGAGGCTCCCCTGGCCACAGCAAGCCGCTCGGTGTGCCCGTGGCTCAAATGCAGCATGCAGTGACTGAGTGGTTTTCCTCAGAATTGTAGCTTAAGAATGCTAATCGGAGGAGGTGGTACCTTTTGGCCGTGTTGTTTTGAAGAGCGCTTGGCTTTTGTGCTGAAGAATTCCTAGGAATTATGCACAACGTATGCTTTTGACTTCGTTGAAGGTCTCAGACTGTGGAATCTGTTTCACAACTGAGATGAGGGTTTCAAACTGTGGACTGTGTTGCTCAACTGTGGATGTTTGGTCATCCTGTCGACATGAAGAGTGGAAAAAGCTCTTCGTATTTGTGATTTTGGCGCATGCGTGTGTGGGAAGCGCCTTGAAAGGTCGAGTTGTTCTGTTTGTCGTTGCTCTCCCCTGCGAAATGAATGGATGGTTACATGACTAAAGTTGCCCTTTGCCTGACCTGGATCGGTTGTGAAGAAAGAGAGAGTCTGTGGGTTATTGAGAGTGCTGTAACCCCATGCTGAGACTGACAGTGGGTTTTGCAGGTCAACTCGGCACAACTGGAATGACTCCAACAATGCCAGGGATATTTACGGGAGCCTTTCCGTTTGCGGGCACACAGGTGTGTGTTTGCTGCGATTCTTGCTTCGGAGTTGTGATGATGTTGAGGCGGTGGGGGAAAAAAATGGCTGTGATGGGGGTGGAATTGCACTTGTGGGGTAATTGGGAACAGGTGCATGCATGTTGGGTATCGGTTTAGCATTGTGAAATGAAAAAAAAAGTAATTGGAGCTGCGACTCGCAATTTGCCAAATTTTTGCACCAGGCAAGTCATTCTTGATGTGAACCACTAAACTCCCTCTCGTGGAAGAGTTGCTTTCACCTGAATATCTGCCAGTGCTTTGTCGGTCAAGACTTCGTTTGGCGGACAGGCCATCTGTATAGACATGTCTGCATTGGTTCCAGGCCTTTAGAGACATTGTTTGACGCACATCCGTCCCTCTTGGTTGCAGTTCGGAGGTCTCCCAGCAATTCCTGCACAAGCTATGACTCAGCAGGTGTGTGAACTTTGCCCCGCATTGCAGAGGGTCAAGAATTCTAAACCGCAATTTGCGCCAGGTCCAGCCACGTCCAGTTATATGATGAGAAGGTTTCTACTTCGTTTTTTTCTGGGCTTGGCCATCGTTTTTTTTTGCAGGGGTGTTGGTGTTTTCTGGGGTGATGTTGGTGTTGCCATGGGTTTGTGGATGAAATGTTGCAGAGGTGGTTTTGGGGAAAGAAGGGTGCTGGCCGTGCCAGAAAAACTGGGTCCTTGTAACTCGGTTATGAACGGTCGGGTGTTGGGGGATGGTTTGTTTGCCTTTCATGTGATTAGTTGTTGTCGTGGAAGCTCGGTTAGAGGTTGCTTGCCTGTCTGCGTGCCTGCCTGTCCTCTGAGTGAGAGAATGTACCATGTTGTGTGCACTGTCTGGTCACCGCATCTAGTCTTTTTCTGGTCGATGAAGTGTTCAGGAGAACTGGTGAGGGTTGTAATTTGTGCCCATTTTGGATGTTCGTTGATGTTTGGAAACGTAATGCATGGATATAATGCGTTTATGCGTCACTGTCCTTTTTGCTTCAGTTGTCTTCTGCAATCGTAGTTTGCAAGGGTGATGAATGCCCTGCTGCCATGTTTAGAGCCTCCTGCGGAAGGTTGGGTACAGGCTATCGAGGATGTTTTTCTTTACTGCGTGGGAAAATAGTTGTGGCTGTCTGTATGTGACCGGGGGGAAGGGGGGAGGGGGAAGAACAACGAGAGAACAACGAGAGCATGTGTGTCTTGAACAGACAGAATGGCCTGTCTGTTTGTTTATGCAACCAATATTGCTCTGTTCTAACTTCTAAGCTCATTTGCATTGCTGGAATTTGCTCTGTTCTAAGCTCATTTGCATTGCTGGAATGTTTTGTTCCTCGATCGGGGATTGTCTGGCTTGGTGAACTAGCGGAAAACTTGTGGAAGTTTGTTGAAGTGTGGTCTAAACATTTGTATTCATGCATGCCATTATCATGCTATGGTTGACAGTGTAAGAGTTTGTCGCTATTTGGTAAGGCGGAGAGGTCAGTTGCAGTGGTTTGCGGCATTTTCACAAGGTCCCAATGTCAGTTCCGTGCACTGGAGTACCATGCGCTATCTTGAGTTAGGTGTATCAGAGGATATCATCTCTTCTCTGTCTCATCTGCTTTTGGCTGGGCCACGTTTTCTATGTGCAGGCTACACGGCATGCAAGGCGTGTTTATGTGGGAGGGTTGCCGCCAATGACTAATGAGCAGGTAGGTTGTCCGTACTCAAAGTTCAGACTTCGTTTACGGGCCATTCGCCTAGCTTGGCGAGGTGCAGGTGTGCTTATGTGGTATCAGGGTTTCCATTTGATGAAATTTTGTTGCTATAAGCCCACCGGAGGATCAAAGGAATTGGGAGGAGGAGACTTTCTCTCTACGATGGTGGACGTGTGCGTGCATGTGTGTGTGTGTGTGTGTGTGTGTGTGTGTGTGTGTGTGTGTGTGTGTGTGTGTGTGCACCATGGCTTTCATTTTTTCCTGTTTCTGATTGATGTCCAGCCAGTGGTGTGTGCATATTTTTGAATGTGTGGTGGGGTGGGGGGCAGATTTGCAGAATTGCTCTTTCTGCCGGTGCATAATATAAAAGGTTTAGAGGGTGCATGATCGGCGATATTGTGGATGTGCGAGTAAGGAGGCGGTGGTGAAGTTGGTGCTTGGGATATATGGAGCTGCAGCAGAATGTGTCGGCTTCAGGATCCTGTAAGAAGACCGGTGTCGAACTCTGTGCCAGCAGTGTTCTATCTATGTCAGGCCTAGTCTTCCAACGATTTCCAGAAATGTGTTGCTAACCTGTGTGTGTGTGTGTGTGTGTGTGTGTGTGTGTGTGTGTGTGTGTGTGTGTGCACCATGGCTTTCATTTTTTCCTGTTTCTGATTGATGTCCACCCAGTGGTGTGTGCATATTTTTGAATGTGTGGTGGGGTGGGGGCCAGATTTGCAGAATTGCTCTTTCTGCCGGTGCATAATATAAAAGGTTTAGAGGGTGCATGATCGGCGATATTGTGGATGTGTGAGTAACGAGGTGGTGGTGAAGTTGGTGCTTGGGATATATGGAGCTGCAGCAGAATTTGTCGGCTTCAGGATCCTGTAAGAAGACCGGTGTCGAACTCTGTGCCAGCAGTGTTCTATCTATGTCAGGCCTAGTCTTTCAACAATTTCCAGAAATGTGTTGCTAACCTGTGGGGACCTCTTTCGCTTTCCTGTTACGTTTTTGTGCAGAGTGTAGCAACATTCTTCAGCTCAGCAATGGCAGCAGTGGGTGGCAATACAGCAGGTCCAGGTAAATGATATTCTTTCACAGAAACATTACTGTAGCTGCAAGCAGGTCATTATCTTGCTATTTTAATGCTATGTTAGACACGTTGAGGCCTCCTGTTGAGTATGGATTTCAGGCATGTTCGAGTCTACGAGACTTATTATCAATAACTGTGTTTTTTTGGGCCCGTCTAAGTCGTCTTATATTCGATTGTGCTCAACCTGTAGGGCGACACCTCTATATGAATGAGTGGGAGCTGGGCTGGTTACAGCTAAGAGCACCATCCAACTAAGAGTACCGAGCTTTGTCTTCGGTGTGTGATAGCTTAAGTACCATTTTTGTGGGGACAGCATAATGCTTCATTCTGTCTAGGGGGTCTATGTAAGTAGCTGAGAGCTGGCGGATGTGGAGGAAACAGTAGAGCCACGTCTGTGTGCACAAAGTGTCCGTCTGAGATATATGTGCATTAATTTGCCCAGTGCTGCGCACATAAATGGGGCATGTGTTATGTTGTAACTTTTGTTAAAAATAAAATAAAATAATAATAATAAAATTGCGTGTCATATCATTCTGGAACACGTGCATTGCTGCTAAACCACCTTGAATAGCTGTTGCTTTTTTGAATGGCGAGGTGCTGCTGTACAAAAACGGAAATGGTAGTCCCACCATTGTAACACAGATGAGTGATTCTTTCTGAGTGATGCCCACAACATAAATCACAAACCAATGCTAGGCAGGCGGATGTGTGGGAGCTTTGGGCTCAACCACACGTGCAGAGGAAATTGTATCTTGTGTTTTTGTGTGCCTTCAGGAATGCCGTTTTGGCATGCAATGACCTTTGCTGCTTTTGTCGTGGATTTTGTACTAACTTGGATTTACGTTTGTATAGGTGATGCTGTTGTGAATGTGTACATCAACCAGGAGAAGAAGTTTGCATTTGTTGAGTTCAGAACAGTCGAGGAAGCCAGTAATGCCATGGCCTTGGATGGCATTAACTATGAGGTAAGGTGCAGTGCAGATGGTTGCAACTATTATGGGTTGCTGCGCTTAAATTGGTGGGTTGTTGCTTCATTGTCCAATTGAGGTTCATCATCTGACTGACGCTTCCCGTCTCCCAGAAATTCATGTTGTGTCTGAGATTGTCGTTTGTCTTCGTCCATGTTTGAATCTCATGTCCTGTCTTCTTAGTTCTACACCCTAAAACTGCCGTCCTGGCTTGTTGTTTCTCGGTGGATGAACATGCAGAAAGATTATTTGCAACAATGTAAGGTGTTTTCTGTTAGGGGTAGCTTTCCTTTCACTAGGATGTGATTGGACATGGGATCTGCAGAGACTTCTCCTGTGGGATTGTCCCTTCTCTATCTGTTATCTTCCTTTGTCTTCAGAATGAGACATTTTGAAGCCTTGTAAATTCTCCATATTCCGGCGTATCTGATATAATCATTCAGAACGAGACATTTTCATGACTATAGCATCCTCCTCTTTGGGCACATTCCGTGTCATTATGAGCGAAACAAACTGTTGAAGATGTTGATATCAAGATGTTTTTTACTGCGAAGCGTCTCTCTCATAACGTATGGTTCACTGTATGTTCCCGGATGCTGGAAAGGAAGTTTCCCTTTTTGTGTTTTTTTGTTCCCGGTGTGTGTGTGTGCGCGGGCGTGTGTGTGTGTAAGCTATAATCCGAGATGTTCACTGCCGCACAATTCCTGTTTGCATTTCCAGGTGTGCATGCGTGTGTGTATGTGTATGTGTGCTTGTGTGTGTGTGTGCATGCGTATGTGTTTTTGTGTGTGTATATATGTGTGTGTGTGTGTGTGTGTGTGTAAGCTATAATCTGATATGTTCGGGGGAGGCGGGTGGGCAGACAAACGACACAAGACAGCACACAAGGTACTAAGGGAAAGACAACACACAAGTATACCAAGCAGGCAACACAAGCAGACGACACACAAGCACAGCAAGCAGATGACACACAAACACGCCAACCAAACGACACCCTACCAAACAATAAACAGACAAGCTAAAAAAACAGAAGTCCCATTAAAATTTAAGGACTGAAAAAATTAAAACTGATGATAGATTGTTTCGTCGGAGTTGCACGGACTCATCAGGAGGCTGAACCCTCGACAATCTGCGGAATGCCCGTATTGATGGTTTGGGTCATGAGCGCTTTGACCCATGTTGAAGGCGCACTGTGCCGAAGCGGAACATAGCAGCGGGCGGCAACTCAGCGAAGCACCAGGCAACCCTGCTGGAGCAACTCAACTGCACAATGCCAAAAACGACTGGAAGGAACGATACGGCAAGCGGACGAGCGGCACAGCAACATCGCATTGAAGCACAAGGCAACACCAACACAGCGGCCACACCAACACAGCGGCCACACCACATGACACACAAGCAAGGAAGAACAGAAAGAAGGACATGTGGATGGGCAGCAAGGCAACAGTGCAGTGAAGCACAAGGCAACATCAATACGACAGCCACACCACATAGTGAGCGCAGCAACTTGCAAGTGCAGTGAAGCACAAGGCAACATCAATACGACAGCCACACCACATAGTGAGCGCAGCAACTTGCAAAGAACGACATGCGACACCAGCGGGACGGGCAGCAAGGCGGCGGTGGAGCGCAGACAAGGCAGTCTATACATCCAGCACAGAGCAAAGCGGCACATCACCTACTCACGTTGTGGGTGAACTTCGCGGACTTTTGGTTCCCACTACCTGCTGAGCCAGGAAGGTACTCTGAGGGCCGTCAATTATCCACCAACAGACCTCATGGACCACACACATTACAGTCGAAGTGCCGCCCTAAGAGTCCTGCAGTCACTCCAAACAACAAACCACCGACTATTTCGCACTGTTTAAAGGTGCTCATGCAAACACAAAAGGAAAAACTTTAAGAAATAGGAAAAGCATACATACATACGTAAAGATGATTGTGTGTGTGTGTGTGTGTGTGTGTGTGTGTGTGTGTGTGTGTGTGTGTGTGTGTTTGCGTGTGTCGGTGTGTGTGTGTACGTAAAGCTATGGTCCAATATGTTCCCTCCTGCACATTTCCCGCACGCATTTCCTGTTGCCTGTTGAACCCATTGAACGTAAGTCCTTCGCCATGGCCTAGCCCTGGTTTTTGCTATTGGTTTTCCTAATCAAGCGTTCTGGTGTGGGTACTTGGATGCAGGGTGTATCAGTACGAGTTAGGAGACCCAGTGACTATAACCCATCAATGGCTGCAACGTTAGGTCCCAGCCAGCCAAGCCCACATTTGAACCTTGCTAATGTTGGGCTTACTCCGGGGTCAGTATTTTCTCTCACCTCTTTTGTGCCCTCTTGTCTTCAAATTTGATCCGCTGGTTTCCGGTTCTACTCAGTGTTGGGGGCCATGGTTTGGATTGGGTGTGTTTTTCTCGGGGGCATATGGTTTAGGATGAATCCTCAGGGGCACCAGTGAGGCATAGCATGATTGAGGATTATTTTTTAAGACTCTTGCTGCTTTCATTTACTGTGTGTCCGTGTTTCAGCAAATAGGACTAGCCATGTCTGATCTTGCCCGCAAATGTTTATGTTTACTTCTGCACTGATATGTTGGTGCATCCCTATTTCGGGAAAAAAATGCTATAAATAGGAGACAGTGAGGGTCCCTCTGTACAAGGTCTCATGAACTGTTTTTAGAATGGTATGAGTCAGGCAGTGTGGTATGGGACGTGTGCACACTTTGTTGGAGATGTTTTGGGATTTCCGTTGCCATGTTAAAGTGTACGTGTTATGAACATGATTGTCCGTTGAAATTTTGTCAACGCTCACTCGCAGGAACTCCCGTACACGCCCATACACGTACAGAAGGAAGGGGAGAGGGAGTGGAGTGTCACACCGCCCAACAGAAGAAACTCAGAAGAGTGAAGTGACAGAATACACAACACAGTGGATTCTCTCCACAGAAGTCCCAACAATCATTCATAGAAGACAACCGAGAGATCACAGCCAGAAACCAATGAAGAGATGACAACTCTGACACAGTTATTAAAACTGTTTATTAAACTCAGAGCATCGTTCAACTGAATAACCTCAGAAGCCTGTTGCGCTACCCTCAGAAGGTTACAGCCAGAAGCCTGTTGCGCTAACCTCAACCCCACACACTCTGAACAGCTAAAAATAGCACCAGAACCCCAGGTAACACCCAGCGCCACCCTGACATCCAACTCAGTGGCCTGCGCCAGTATGAAACAGGCTCCCAGAGCCAATCACCACTCAGATGATGAAGATGAAGCCCAGCGCCAACAGTCTCTTATGAAGATGAAGTCCAGATGATGATAATCTCCGAGAAGAAGCAGCTATGGCTGCATCGCCACTGGGACCCTACTCCTGAGGAGGGCCGGCAGTGCACCACGTGCGCCAACGCATCAGACCTCCAATAGTCCAGACCGCCTTGACTCCCAGAGAGTCAGAGCAGACAGCGTTGACCCCAGTCTGGTCAGCGCTCTGAAGGTCTGGCTATGTCCGCTGTCTCTCACGCATGAATCAGTCACCACGACCTGATGCAGCGTGCGCAGCAACTTCCACCACAAAGTATTAACTGCCAGAAAGCCCTGGACCGATGCTCTCAACCTATCTATACTCTACCCTGGCCTAGACTTGACCTAGACCGGACTGACTGCCCGACTGGTACCGTTTCTGTTTCGGCCCCTTGGGCCTCTCCCTACCTGGCTATAGGCTATAGGACCGTCTATCAGCATAGGCCCTTAGGGCCTGTCTGTCCCAGGGGTAGCCCGGGGCTGCTATTCGCAGTTAGGGTAGCTGTAGGAAATTCGAGTTAGTACTGGGCCTAGATTTTCCCATATTTACAGACATGTCCCTCACGAATTTTCCTTACATGTTGGTCTCTCGGTTAGCCCTCAGCCAAACAAAATTATGAATCTATCCCTACCTATGGTACAGCCTCGTCAGAGAGAGGCTACAGGCAACCTGGAACCAGCAAGTCATTGCATATGCTTCTGCTTCCGTCCAGGAAGCAATGATGTCTTCTCCCTTCAATGAGCGCCGAGCGTCATAGCACAGCACCTATTTTGTCCAGATTGTTTGGCATGTCCACTGCTTTGTGAAAAAGCTAAGTTACTTCACAAGGTCCCTCCGTACAAGGTCTCATTGACTGTTTTCAGGATTGTACCAGTCAGGCAGTGTCGTGTTGGAGATGGTTTGGGATTTCCATATATGCTTCTGCTTTTTTCTTCCAGGAAGAAATGATGCATTCTCCCTTTAACGAGTGTTGAACATCCTTGCACATCACATATTTTGTCCACATCGTTTGGCCCGTCCAATGCTTTGTGAAAAAGCGAAGTTCCTTTCGTCAAGAAAGTGTGCCCTGACATCCACCGGCTTGTATGTGCCCAAGTGGTGCATCCCTGTTCAGTAGAAATATATGGGAGTGAGAAAATCATCTGGCTTCGTTCTTTGGGAGGGTCCTTATACACAAGGACTTTTTAATTGTTACCTGGATGGTTTGAGTTGAGCAGTGCTGTGTGGGATGTCTGACTAGTCTGTGGGGATGGTTTGGGATGTCCTGTGCTTTCTGAAAGTGTGTACTTCCATCCATGAAGAAAGCGTATGCTTCGTCCATGAAGAAAGCACCGAATGTCAGCACCGCTGATTGCTCATTTGTGTGTGTGTGTGTGTGTGTGTGTGTGTGTGTGTGTGTGTGAACGCTTGTCGTTGGTAGTATCTATGTTTAGGCTGGAACGGTCGAGGGTGGTAAACATGGACTATTCTCCGCTCACCACTGCATCTATGTAGTTGGTTTTTGGTGGCCTCCAGGTGCTTGGGAGGCTTTGGGACACTGTCACAATCGCCTCAAAGAAATCTAGCAGGCTGTTTCCTGTTGGGGTACTACTGGTGTGACCTTGTGCATGGTACAGATTGTTGAATGGTGGTCAGACTGGGTGATCCTAGGAAAATGTTGCAGTGGAGAAATGATGCCGCTATTTATAGCGAACACGCTGGAAAGTGATGCACTTGAAATCAGGTGCACCTCTAATTCAGAGCAGGCAAGCCATTTGCTGTGGTCAGTTCTTGAGTAGTGTGTGCGAAGACTTGCGTAGTCAGGTCACTCTTTTGCTGGTGCAATGCATTGTGACTTTTGAGATGGAGATTACCGTAATTTTGGTTTTGATCAAATGCTCACTTTACTGTAAGCCCATGCTGGATATTGTGGTTGTTCATACGCTGAATCGAACTCTCTGAATTTCTTCCTCAAAAGCACTCTTCTTATCAGTGCTGCAGGGGGAGCGGATGGGCCCGACCGCATCTTCATTGGGGGCCTTCCATACTATTTGACCGAAACACAGATCAAGGAGCTGCTGTCCACCTTTGGGTAAGTTGCTACCGTTGTCTTCTGAATGGTGTTGCCCCACGTCTTGCCCGGGAATAGCAGTCCGACATTGTACTGAACGATGTGTGCAGAAGTCGATGCCTTGGTATTTGATTATAATGCAGGTCCAATCATGTCATTAATGTATGATGACGTATGGCCTACGTGTGCTGGGGTTCCTCCTGGAGCACATGGAGGCCTATTTGGGTTCCTTCGTCGCCTCCCTCTCAACCTCTCAATCCGTTTCTTGTCTCTGTAACGGAAGGGAAGTGGGAAATAGGTTCACTGATAGGAGCGGGTGGAGAATGCCCAGGCAAAATGTGAAGTCGTGATGTCTTGCTCCACAAAGAGGAGGAGGGCGTTCCTTGCCCCTTTGCAGAGCCAGTGGACCTGTTTTCCAGCAAGTGCTGCTCCCCACTAATAGATTGGAGCTTTCTTGTTTAAAAAAAAAAAAAAAAAAAAAAGGCGGAGGAAGGTGTGGGAACAAGGTAGCTGAATGAGGTGCATGATATAGTCTGCATGCGGAGTTACTAGTTAGTGAAATTGGTGTGCACAAAGTATGAGAAGGAAAAGCAGAAAGCTTTTTGAGGGGCTTCACAACTAGGAGCGTACTGGCCTGCATGTTCATGAGGAAAATAGGATTATAAAAGGCAAGAAAAGGAAAAGAAAGAAAAGACCTCAAGAGAAGGGAGAAGGCCTAATTGGTGATGGGATATGGAGACGTAGGGGCAGAACTGAGGAAAGGAAAAGCACAGACATAAAGAAATAACGGGCGGACTCTTTGAGGGGAAACAAGGAAGAGGATGTTGGTGACCCACGGGCAGGGCTGAGGAGGGGGAAGCACAGGCGATTTCTTTCTAGGTGGCAATGGATTATCTGGCAGAGCTGGTCTTCCAGTTCTGAGAGGAAAGAGTGAGCCAGGGCAAGCTGACAGTCAATCCTACACCTATGGTGGAGTAATCAATGCTGCTCAGGGGTCCTCCGGCCAAACGGGAGGAAGCGTCAGTTTTTCGCTGTAATGTAATGTATTTTTCTGAAAAACAAAAAGGAGAAAAAAAGAAAAAAAAAAAGAAAAAATCAATAAAAAAAAGAAAAACAATTAAAAAAAAAGAAAAAAAAAGCAATGGTAAGAAAATAAAAGGCAATGTTTGGGGATTGTGCTGAAATATGAAAAAGAACACGAGAGTAATTTAGTATTGCTCTCTTGAGGGGATGCATGTGAGAATAACAGGAGTTTTTTATGTTATGCTGTGGCACTGATTTAGTGTCATGAACATTGCTTTTGTGCAGGCCTCTGCGTGCATTTGATCTTGTTAGAGATCGTGACACGGGCAACTCGAAGGGTTACGGGTTCTGTGTCTATCAGGTTGGTTATTCCTCTCCACATTGTTGCGTGCCTATTTGTGCTGAATGCAGTTTATTCAACTCTATTGGAAATCGTGTTTGCATTTTCTGAGTTCTGCAGTGAAGGTTTGGATTCATGGAACGACTACCTTGGAAAGCCATCAAGAAGCACTTTAACCATGTGATGTGTTTTTTTTAAGAGAATTCGATGGTGAATCAGTGGTGATGGATGAGGAGGTGCCATTTCTATGACCCAAACATGCAAGCACACTTGCGCACACACATGCTATCTGTTGTCAGTGCACAGAGCATGCTTGCAATTCCCCTGCTGTGATCTTTGGAACATTTGGTTGCGGCACAGGGTCCGTTTGGCAGTAGTGCTAAATTGCGCCGCTGGCGGTTTGGAACAGCTTGCCACAGTGTGCCGCACCTCAAGGCCCTCGTGTACTCGTGGTTCAAGTATGTACTGGATAGGAGACCGACTGCTAGAGGTGATGTGATGATGCACGATCGTGATTTGTGCGAGGTGGTGTCACGATTGGCATGTATCTCCTCCCTCTCTGTGGATCCTCGTCCATTGGAGAGACATGGCTAGGAAAGGAATGTTGATCTTTGTGGTGGTTCAGAAGTTAACATTAAAAAAAGGAATGTTGATCTTTGTGGTGGTTCAGAAGTTAACATTAAAAAAAAAAAAAAAGAAAAAAAAAAAAAAGAAGAAGTTCAGAACCAAGGGTTAGTGAGTCGTCCAGTGTTTATACGCTTGCATTTATTTCATTTTTTCTCAGGCAATTTCAGGCTAGGCTACCAGCCGGGCCGCGCCCGGGTCCCGGGTAGCCAGCCCGTGCAAGGACAAAGGAGGGTCCCAGCAAAAAAACAAAAAATCCAAAAAATCCGAAAAAAAACTATGTTATGCAGAAAAATAAACTGAACAACTTTTGCCTCAGGGTCACATCGAAATTCTTTACCAAATTTAAAATATAAAATAAAATGTTAAAATAATTTTTATTTTTTTTTAATTTTAAATCTTTTTGGCCCGGCCGGGCAAGTGACCCCGGACCACTCTGGTAGCCTAGATTTCAGGATGATTTTTTTCATTCGTCTACTTCCATCTGGATTTGAACTCGGGGCTTGTATTTCAACTGTCCATGGGTGTACCAACCGAGCAAGTCATGCTGCTGTGTTTATACATTTGCTAACACCACATGTAATGTCTTTGTGATCTTGGGTGCGGGTGCGGTGGCCTCCTGCAGGACCCGGCTGTGGTGGATGTTGTGTGTGCAGCCCTCAATGGCATGAAGATGGGTGACAAAACATTGACTGTCAGGAGAGCGACAGCAAGGTAAATTAAGTTCCCGGCAGTGGTTCCTATATTCACGCATGATGGTAGCACCTCCGGGACACGACTCGAGCAAAGCTTCTCATGTTGAAAAAAAATGTCTGGGATGATTTTTTTCTGATGAGAAAGATACACACCGACCAAATGCCCTTGCCGAACCACCTTAGCTGTAATAAAATGAAATGAAAATAATCCGTTTTTCACGACAACGTAGATAATGAGACATGTTGTGTACTAAAAGATCGAAAACTTGCCCCCCCCCACCCCCCCGTCGATTGAATCGTCCCAGTTGTTAAACAGACTGTTCCCTTCCCTTGACGTCCCACTCGTTCAAAGGACGACGGCCTAGAGATGTTATCCTTTGACGTGACTGGCCCCAGGTAGTTCAGTTCATTCCATTCATGCAGGTCCATCAGGATTCGAGCTTAGGTCTGGTTTTCAACAGTTCATGGGTGTACCAACTGAGCTTTACTTTTATAAGCTCACAGTTCCACTGTTACATGGAATTGACTTAGTTGTTGGAGGTGCTCTCCCACTAACCATCCACTTCTTTCTTTCCATTGCAACTCAAACTTCAGGACGACAGACAATATTTTTGTGGGGCCTGTGTTGGGACCAAATGTCCGGTCAACAATACCCACTCCTATTTGACAATGTGGAGCCCACTCCTATTTGACAATGTGGAGGTATCACATGTTGGTGCACAACTGTGGCCTTTGCTTGTGACAGGTGTTTGCATTTGTGAGTTGGCGTGCATGTTTCTGGAGAGACTTGTGTTAGTGTCCAGAATATGTCTATTGTCTACGCTGGGTCCCTTCTTCCTTGGATTTTGACGTCCATGAACTTCGTCCCATTCTGATAGTGTGTCCAAGCCTCCAAGGCTAATGCATCTGTTGCCCAACTCTGAAAGTTGTATGCTTGGTCGCTTTTTTTCCTTGCACGTTTTCTGAGAACTTTGGCCACTGCTGGTGCGCGATTGTTTGTAGCAGTGGGCAGCCGAAGCCGGATCAAGCAAATGTCTTGCAGCAGGCCCAACAACAGATTGCTCTGCAGGTATTCAATTGCCTGAGCTCGAATGACTTCCGTTACTGTGTCTCATTTGTGTACGGTGTAGACTGGTTGGTTTGTGTTTACTGCTCTCTGGAATGTTGTAACTGGCAACCATAACCGATTGGTATGTGTTCCTTGTGATGCCCCTTTCCCGGCTCAGTGTAACGC